AAAAAAAAAAAAAAAAAATTCCTAATTGACAAAAAATAAAACAAAAAAACCCTAGGGCTTGGGCTATGGGTGAACCATGTCCTCCGACCGGAAGAAGAGCAGCCACAGAATGGGCAAAAAATCTCTCTTCCCCGAAGGGTCGTTAATCGAGGTAAAAACAGACGAGGAGGGTTTCAAGGACGTGTATTTTTTAGCTACTGTAATTCCTATACCTGCAAAATTCAAGGGAAAAAATTTCAAGTCTAAAAGGAAAAACAAACTGTATGTGGAATACCAGTCTCTCTTGGCGGATGATAATGGCTCTGATTTGCTGCGGGAGTTTGTTGATTTAAAGTTTGTTAGGCCGGCGCCACCACCTTCGGAGATCGTGGAGGGGTTTGAAGTGAACGATGCAGTTGATGCCTACTACAGCGATGGCTGGTGGATAGGTGTTGTGAAGGAGGTTGAAAGTGGTCCGAAATTTGTGGTTACTTTTCAGAACCCGCCAGACGTTCTCGATTTTGGGATTTCGAACCTCCGAGTTCACTGGGATTGGGTCGACGGACGCTGGGTCCGACCTGTACATCAGGTAAAGATCGCAGAGTGTATCATTTCCTTAAACAAAACTTTATAATACAAGTAATTCTATGTCTTCCGGGTTTCTTCCATTTGGGGGTCGAATGATGGTTAATTAGTTGAGTTGGGGCATGCATGCGTCTAATAATTTTCCATCTTGTTTCTATTTAGGAATTAATAGATTTAAGAAAAGTGTATTCTCTTTACTGCAAATTCACTACGCCCATGTTTGGGCTCCATTTTATTGGAGGATGTCATATAGAGAAAAATGAATTATAATCCCAAACAGGGCTTAATGTTTTTTTGGGAAAATGTATTTTAGAATAGTGATTTTTTTTCTTCCAAGAATGTGGTTAAAAAGAAAGGAAAAGTCTTGGATTTACTAGTAATATTATTTGATTGGAGGATGTGTGGTTAAAAAGAAGCAGAGAAAAATGAGAATGTGTGGTTAAATTTTTGTATATTGATATTTCTGCATCACATCAAGATTTTATACTGGAATGCAAACTTTTTTATTTCTTATTTGTGGGCTTATTATTTAGGCGATTTATTAGTGTACATATGTCTTTTTGTAGGTAGGATTGTACTCTGTTAAATGAGAAGGATGTATATTGCTGTTTGAATTTGCTAAGTATGGTTAACATGTGTTGCGTTCATCTATAATCTTACAGTATGATATCACTTTCAACTTTCAATTTTTGATTTATTTATTTTCTTTGTTTTTGTGGAATACTGGAAGAGCAAAGTAGCATTGATGTTTGATGTTGGAAAAAATGTAGAAGTTTCGATTAAAGAAGAAAATTATCTGAATGCTTGGTTCCCAGCAATTATATGTGAAATAGTAAGAGATGGATCTTTCGTTGTGGAGTTGAGCCAAAAAATTGGTAATGAGGCTGAGCATTTGAAAGTAACTGTTGATCCCCTTCATGTCAGACCTTCCCCACCGCATCTTAAGGATAAAAAATATGTTTTGTTTGAAAAAATTGATGCATTCTTTGATGGTGGATGGTGGAGTGGAGTAATTACAAAGGAGCTTGAAGATAGTAGGTATGATATCCTCTTCAAACAGCCGCAAAAGAATAGGGAATTGCATCAGTCAAAAATAAGACCGCACATGGAATGGAAAGATAGTAAATGGACAGCATCTTCTCAGGTTTGACATTGCTTTTCAATTTTTTTACTCAGAATTCAAATTCTGTTTTGTTTTGATGCAAAAGATTTGTCCTTATTCTTTGCTGGCCGTGTTTTGCTCTTTGTCTAATTTTTTTTTTTTGTTTTAAAAGTTCTCTAAATTTCTACCTACCATTATCTGCATGTAATATGGAAAAAAAATTCATGCTATATGATTTAGCAACATGTAACTTTGGCAAGATAGTGATGTAGAAGGACCTTACCCTTCTTATATTGTATAAGTAATAATTCTGTCTTCTGGTTAAAATGACCTGATTGTATTACTAGCATAATACATATTTTTATGTTTTCTTAAATGTTTTCTTTTAAGAAATTCATACTTATGCGTGAAATGAATTTGCTTCCTAAAATGTGATTTTGATCTATCCGTGGACACATCCCCAATCCCTAAACCAAAAGAAAGGAGAGAAAATAAAGGGATCGTTCTGGTTTCGTAGTGCTCGTGTGTTTTTGTGATGTAGTACATCACAATTACAATTAATAGTTCCACTTTATCTAGGAGTTTGTCTTTTTTAAATTATCTTTTCTAATTTCTTTTTCTAATTGTAATAGGTTTATTCTTAAATTTTATTTAGATTAGGATTAGTTTATTTCCTTTTAGAATTTAGTTTCCTTATTTTAATTTCCTTTTATTAATAGGATTAGGGATAATTTGGC